TTTACCTACTTAGTATTTATTTTCTATTCAGAGATTAGCAGAGTGATATGGACGACTGTCGTCATAAAGTCATATTTCTACAATTTAAACCTTTCATTATTTTTACGTGTTAACACGAAGTTGACAACATAATATTATTTAACTGCTATCGAAATAATATTAAGTGTCAACGTGTACTGAGAATAATTATTGTCTCTCATTTGTGATAGGTGTAAATACAGATTTGACAAAACCTAACATTTCATAATTATTTAATAAATGGTATCGAATTTATTTTTTTTATTTTTTTTTATAGTTGTATAATTTATAAATTATTTGTATCTATTTATTGTTTGGAAATTGGAATTGGAATAAATATGTCTTCAAATAAAAAAATAAAACTTTGTAAAAAAAAAAGACACTTGGATTTTGTACTTGAAAATTATAAAATATAATAAAACAACTATTTTTTATTCTTCTAATCTATTAAAAACTATTTCTATATATCAGTACCTATCTATATTATGTTGGAATTATTGGACCACCCCCAGAAAAAAATTGAAAATATGACACTGATTATAAATATATAGGTAATTAAATATACTTTGTATTCTATGCCAGATATAAAGAAATTAATAGATTTATAAACTATTATCAATATCAAAATTACTATATTCAACTTACCTTATCGGGTTCCATTTTTAAAAATCAAGCCCTTAAGTATCTTGCTGTGCTTTACTTTTGTTTAGAAACAGACCACAAATGACATACACTTCCGTAGAGTATTAATAAACGACGATTGGAATACAATTATAATGTAAGAAAATAAAAATATCCGATACAACAAAATACTGATGTAAAATGATTGTAAACAGAAGTTTTATTATCGTGATACAGATAACAGATAATATAAAAAATAATGTATAGTAGGCGTATATATAGAAATAATATTTGAATGTTGATAAAAATAGTATTTGTGAAGACAATCCGCATGAACGTCTGGGAAACCACCGCCACCACCACCGCCACCCATCCCCAGCCATCAAGGTGACACCACCGCGGCCTATCAGTTAATCCTGTACACACGATATCTGTGAATCGCAATTTAAGCTAGTACTGTGGCGATACCGGAGTCTTATCACCACTCGCGCACCGCGCATTGGCATTACGCGACGCGCGCCTTATTTTAAATTCGAATTATTTAAATTGTATTATATTCATTGTGTATTATTGTCTTTGCGATCCCTATGTATTTATATTTATGTTCTCTGTGTTTTATTACCGAACTTGCCCCCGCCTCGCTCGTCGGTAACAACTCGCACTTCGACAGTTCGACGGCTACGGCGCCGTTGGCCGCCTTATAGACACGTTCTCTTTATGCAATGCACTCGAAGTGCTCGAACGCAAAGCATCGAGCCGTAACCGCCGCGCGCCGCTCCGAGCCCGCGACTTCTCCGCACGCTTTTTGTCCCGCGTTCGTTCGCGCACTCACGCGCCATTTTGTATTTCCCGTACTGCGTACGGCACATTTTATTATTTAACTAACTTGTTTGTTTTACTGTTTTAAATATACGTAACTCAACGCTCTTGCGTCATCAACCGAAAACTCTACTCTTTATTTAAACTCGTGTAACCTTTCTGACGTGAAGTCGGATCTTGTTTGTAAGTGTAGTCGTCACTGGTCACCCTCCTAAGCCACGGGGCTTCTACACTTACCAAAGTACCACTGATTGTAAATAGCATGACAAATTAAATAGGTATAATCACAGTATTTTGATACGCATCCTCCGCTCTCTACGTCGCCTTTGTCATAGTTCTCCACATCATATTGACTATCAATCATAATATACATAAACACATACCACGGACTAACATATACAGGACTGGACACGACACGGTTGGAGGGTGTGGGGGTTGACCACATGTAGCACAAAAGGTGGAGTTCGGAGGGATATTTTCCTTTTAGCATTACTAGCGATGTCTTAGTGGATACTTATAGAACTAGAAATTTGTATGATGTGTTCTAGTTCCATAAGTATCCACTAAGACGACACTAGTAATGCCCCTGAACTCTGCCTGTTGTACTACATTTCGTAACCACAATATTAATTTCGTGTATAGTCCTGTATATCTTAGGGCCGATTTAACCAACACAGTTAATCACGGTTAACTCTTAATCAGCTGATAACAGATATTTAACCAGCCAAATTCGCCCGATTAAAACTCCTCGGTGAACTTTAATCGTGATTAACTGTGTTGGTGAAATCGGCCCTTAGTCCGTGATACATTCATACCAAAACATAGAACGAAATCCAAGAGCGCGATCAATAAAACAAGATATCGGTTATCAAATTCGAGATTTAAACCGATGATTCTTTGAACGGTAACTGGTAATCCAATCAAATCAGTTTTTTTTTACTTCGTGTTAACTGTTTTTTTTAATATTAAATTAATGATTCTATGTTGTTTAGAATTTAGGAATATCCGAAAATTAAACAAACGTGGATATTCTATGAATATAACGGTTAGACTATACAACTCTCTGTATAATATATACCAATTGAATTCCAATTATAGTATGATATATAAAACTGCGCAAATTGGCTTATCGGGTATTTGTGCCCTTAAATATGGCCTCTGGGGGAACTTAGCCACGTTGTTGCAAATTGGTTGCAAAAAAGTGACACCGATTTGGAACCGATCGGACGATGTCGGGTTGCCACATGAATTTGGCACCCCAATGCTAGATTTGTCTGTAGCACCGTAAAAAACGCGTTGCAAATTTTTTTATGAGCGTTGCAAATTGTTGCAAATTGGTTGCAAAAAAGTGACACCGATTTGGAACCGATCGGACCATGTCGGGGTGCCACGTGAATTTGGCACCCCAATGCTAAATTTGTCTGTAGAGCCGTAAAAAAAGTGTTGCAAATTTTTTTACGAGCGTTGCAAATTGTTGCAAATTGGTTGCAAAAAAGTGACACCGATTTGGAACCGATCGGACCATGTCGGGGTGCCACGTGAATTTGGCACCCCAATGCTATGTTTGTCTTTAGCACCGTAAAAAATGTGTTGCAAATTTTTTTATGAGCGTTGCAAATTGTTGCAAATTGGTTGCAAAAAATTGACACGGACATGGGGACATTCGGAAAGTTTCGGGGTGCCACGTGAATTTGGCACCCCAATGCTATGTTTGTTCGTAGCACCGTAACAAATGTGTTGCAAATTTTTTTATGAGCGTTGCAAATTGTTGCAAATTGGTTGCAAAAAATTGACACGGACATGGGGACATTCGGAAAGTTTCGGGGTGCCACGTGAATTTGGCACCCCAATGCTATGTTTGTTCGTAGCACCGTAACAAATGTGTTGCAAATTTTTTTATGAGCGTTGCAAATTGTTGCAAATTGGTTGCAAAAAAGTGACACCGATTTGGAACCGATTGGAGGATGTCGGGGTGCTAACTTCACGTACGTCTCAAACGTTGTTCAATTCGTTATAATATTCAATGTATGGTATTCAAAATTTATCTTAACTTTTCTGTTTCCCGGAATAAAAATTTTGATTCCCAGCAGAACCTATATTATCAGGTAGGTAAGATCCCGTGATGCTTGTACGTAAATGTATAATTTAACTCTAAAGTATCAAAGTTATACCAAGTATGTTACTGAACTCCTCCTAAACGGTTGGACTAATTGTACGTAACTTATATATGCGAGTATAATATATAAATATAATATTTACGTAATAGTGATACATTACATAGCGTAGAAAAAAATTAAATGCATTGAATGTATACACTTATTTCACGGCAACCAATAATAGTTTATAATAGTTTTAAAACCCATGGCAACCATTTATAAACAAAAATGTCCACCGTAAATCTCTAAATCCCCGTTTGAGCACATCCAATGGTTGGACCTAGGGTGGTGATTTGTAGCCTATGTGTTATTCTTATGTATAAGCTATAATATTATTAAGTTTCATTAAAATCCATTCATTAGTTTTTACGTGAAAGAATAATAAAGTCACAGACTTTCGCATTTATAATATTAATAGGATATAAAATCTAGTGTCACGTCTTTGTCCGAGATAAACTCCGAAACTACTGGACCGATCTTGATAACATTTTATCAATGTGTGTAATTTGGCCGAACTTAAAAGATAGGTAGGCTAATTTAAAAAGGGAGAGAACCAACCACGAGACGTGTTAAAACGGTAGAAATTTTTATTTATAAATGGTTGTCATGGTGACGTCGTATAAAATGATTCGTTCTAGAAATTTCACATACAGAATTATAGTGAATCGTTTTAATTCGTTGCCACAAGAACAAATAAACCATTTATTATATAATACATCGACTATTTGTTATTGTACATATATTTTTGAAATTGTACACATATTCAATCAGTACCTATATTATTATTTTGAGTCTACAAGCAACGATGGGTTTTAAGCTATATAATAATAAAAAATAATAAAATAAAATTAGTGTGTGTGTGTTACCAGTACGCGCGGGAAGTGAAATTTCTTTTCAACGGTACACGTGAGTAAATATTAATTAATTTAAAAAATGAGAGGGGAAGTTATTCTGAATTATTTATTATTGATACTTTTATTTTTATTCGACAGATCGGTGGATAATTTCTTGTAGTATTGTTTGTATCCAGGTAAAAGGTTTGTGAGTGAATTAATCAATTAATAACAGTTAATTAAATAACTAGATGCTAACTGATATTGGGCTCTCAGTATAGATCAGGGGTCTTCAACCTTTTTATGCAGCGGGCCACGTATTATTTTTTAATAATCTTGCGGGCCGCATTCGTAGTAAAAACATGTATTTTATACAAAAATTCAGTTTTATTATTAAAATTTTCAAGATTACATTTTAAATTACAAATTATTATTATTATTATTATTATTGTTAAAACATATATAGATTTTAAATTACAAATTATTATTATTATTATTATTAAACATATATAGATAAACATTTTTTGTTAATTACAAAATTTTTATTTTATTTTTAGTGTGATAACTGACACTGTTTTTCACTAACTAATTTGTTTATATTTGGTTGGATCTGCGACGAGGCAATTCTAAGTGAACTTTCCAAGTGACTGTCAGTTAACCGAACTCTATTTTTCGATTTGACAATTTTCATTCGTGAAAAAATATGTTCACAAGTGTAAGTACTGCCAAAAAGAGACATCATTCTTAATGCGTTGTTTCGAAGATTAGGATATGTCTCTGTGTTAATATATTTTGAAGAAAAAATTGAAAGTTCAACATAATTGTACTTTTCTTTTAATACTTTATTGTTTTGTAAATCAATGATCTCAATTTGCATGTTTTCTGGGACATCTTCAACTGGTAATGAAAATGGAATTGAAAACAAATTAAAATATGTTTCATTAGCTTTGAAATCTGAGAACCTCAACTTGAACTGGTGTTTTAAATCAGAAATTGCTTCTGCATATTTTTCTGTTGAAGTAACATTGTATTTTGACATACATGGGAAGTGAGTTGTGTAGGTATAATTAAATTTATCTTATCGCATATTTCCGATAGCGATGGCTTAGCCGTTATAATTTTATCGAAATAGAAAATATACATGTTTAATTTCAAATGTGATCACGGGCCGCATATTATGACAGGGCGGGCCACGCGCGGGTTGAAGACCCCTGGTATAGATGCTATAATAATCGATCATTAATTATTCATCTTAATTAGTATGGACCAAGATAGATGAATCTGTTTTTTATTTTGCAACGTTTATATAATATTTATTCGCAGCTAAAAAAAGTCATTTAACTAACGCGGCTCACGACCACCACTTACCTCGCAACGCTTGTACCTCATAATTTTTTTTTATTTGATATTATTATTAAATTCACTCACAAATCTTTATGATAAAAACAATACTACAAACGATTATGTATCGATCGGGCTAACTTACTCTCATTTTTTGGATTAATAAAATTAATAATAAAGAACTGCGAACTAACAAAAACATTTTGAACGTCAGTACAATATTCTACAAATTTATTACAAACAATTCATTACACACACTATTATTATTTAAGTCGTTTCCGGCTAATCACATGGTAATGAATCAAACAATGTGACCAAATGTCAACAAACATGTGTATTTATTTGTATAAGTCACAATAACATATGTACTTACGAGGAGCATGGTATATACGCGTTATGGGAGTCGAAGAAGTAGCAATAACAAATCATGGTAATTGAACCCGCTGTTTAGATAGCTATATAGTTCACCGTCGTCCGATAACGATTATAATAAGCTTTACTTATTGTACGGATGATTTAAAACACGTGTATTGTATTTGGAGTTCATTAGTGGTACAAGATAACATATACAAATGCGATATATGTGTTCATAGTAATAATATTATATAGAATTCGTACTGGTCGAAGCATCGGAGGGTTGTAAATTGTAATGCTAGTCTAAAATGTTGACTGTGTGACAACAATATCAAATTCACACTTGCGTTGGTATATGCAATGTAATATTATATACTATACAGAGTAATATAATTTGGGCACTGAAGCAAAAAAATTGTTGGTGTACTATAATTTTTTTTGAAAAACTTTAAAGAAAAACTTTAAAGAATTAAAGAAGTGTTTTATGTCCACAAATCTTCGACCTTCACAATTGTACCTTGCAAAAAAAAAAACAAAAAACAATACTTTTAAAATTTAAAAAAAAATGTGAAATCGTTTCCTAATTTACTAGTGAATATCTCATGTTACAAAATAAATTTCTAACCACAAAACAATTTTTTTATTGGATTTTTTAATCCTATTTTTTGTTAACATCTAATTAAAATAATTAAAATAATTTGTCTAACATACAATATTGCACGGGGACACACCTAGACCTAATATTATATTATTATGTAAGAAACAAATTGTTATCTTCGGTATAAAGATTATTTACTTACTGTACTTGTTTATTTTCGTTTGTATTTGTCACAAGCAATTTATACTATGAATGAAGTATATTGTGATTAATATTTGATGTCGACGGAGATAAAATATTAAAACCCATTTCTACATCATCGGTATTTATTCTAAATAACGAAAAAAAATTCTATCAGTAGCCCAAAACGTGTAAATGTACAAAAAAAAATAAAATTTATTACGAACAATTCAATACTACTTTGTTCTACATACTCGTTATTTTGACCTTCAATTGGAATAGTCAAACTATCGGTGTTATCCTACGAAATAATTTAAACAAAAATAAAAAATGAAATTTATAAGTAAACAAACATTTAAGTAAGTATATCCACTTACTGTTTTTTGTATGCGATGAGTTTGCCAATTTAAAAGTGATGAAACATTACCTCTATTTTTTTTCACTTTGGATAGTTTTTGTTTTTTATTTCCCATTTTACCAAATTATTATAAAGAAAACAAATCACGTTTTATAAAAACAAAATCTAAGTTTTAATCACTTAAGTGCGTAAAAATCTTGCTATTTTACACTAGCGAAAAAAATACATAATATACCAAGTCCAAGTGTAGTAATGACGTGAGGCGAAGCTCAAATGAACAATATTTCATATTTTCATGTTATATTATTAAATTATATTTCATTCATACCAAATTATCAATATACGCAAGATATTAAATATCTTATTATAAATTTTATAATTGTACCGTAGTAATACCTAGAATAGTATAATTACTATTTGTAATCTATAGCAGACCGTGGCATGCGATATGGGTGAAGGAACTGTAGTGGCGGAGGAACTCTTCCGCACGCGGCATGCGCAGTACAAGTCACTGTCGCATTGTCGCGCGCATGAACGATCCAGAACGTGTGTTTTTTTTACTAAAACTATGTATTTTTATTCCATCATGCTGATCGCTGTAGTTATGCGATAATACTTTTGAAAACTGATTTGAATTCGTTATAATGTCTACTTGAGATCGGTCAGTTCACATTTTAAGATTTCTGATTTATATTCCGAATAATCAACGTTTGAAAATTCCGAAATTTCAAAATATTCAAACTAAATTTTTGGTTGTTAGGGGGGTGAAATTGGGAAAAATAGACTGACCGATCTCAAGTAGACATAATAACAAATTCAAATCAGTTTTAAAAAGTATTATCGCATTACTACATCGATCAGTATGATGGAATACAAATTGGATGTTTTGGCTAAAATAACTGTCCGCCACCGATCCCCTTAACGATAATATTAGTTTGAGAGTCTGGCAACACTGGCGCCTCCCGTTACATTTCGTTTTTTCCTCACTACCATGCGTAAAGAAGTTTCACTTTAAAAAAACTATTTACTTTACTTTTTAAATATAAATTATAGTATAATATCTAACTATAAAAATATGAAATGAAAATCACTGTACAGGCTGAACTCTGAAACTACTTATCAGATCTTCTTGATTTTGATAGGATTTTGTATAAATTGATTATATTAATCTACCGTTGGTGGAATTAAGTAAAAACGACAAACTGGTATAACTTTGATACTTTAGAGTTAAATTATAAAGTGAAGTACAAACAGCAAGGGGTTCGCGATCTACCGCATAATACTACCTGATAATGTACTGCTGCGAAGCAGAATTTTTATTCAGGGCGACGGAAAAGTTAAGATAAATTTTGAACACCATACCTACACCGAATATTAAATAACGAATTGAACAAAGTTGGAGTCATATAAAGTTGATACAATTAACGGGCAACGAAGTGCAAGGGATCAGCTAGTATGAACAATATGTTTTACATATCATTATGGCAACCATTTATATACAAAACATATCATCGAAATTTTCAAAATAATATATAATTGGTTGCCATGGTAATATGTAGACAGTAGACACACAGGCGGAAATGAAATCTCAAAATAATATATAACTGGTTTCCATGGTAATATGGACACACAGACACACAGACATGCATTCATTTGTATATATATCTTAGTCCGTGAGTGAGACGTGAGTCACACTTCTTAAATTTTAATCGGCCATAAACCATAAACAGTTGGGTATGCTTATCATAATATTCTCTTTAATTAGGTATATGGAATTTATTTCGGTATACCAATCAGAAATTCAGTATATACAACAATCGGTTATTCGAATTATGTTGAATTAAATTATTAATAAATAATATTCTATGTATAATGAAAATTTCAAGTATCTAAATAGTTGATTAAAAATCCAGATTTTTATATTTATCTTGAGAATTCAATTTTTATGTATCTGTTATCTTCGTGTAGATAACAATTCTACCAATTATATCTTATGTTTATATCACGATCTTAGAAGATAAGGTCGGACAACTTCCCACCCTCCCGCCTATTACAATATTTCCTCTTAATGAGACAAAAACATTCCAAAAGTTGCAGAAAAGGGTTCCCGGTTAGACTTATTTTGAGGTTGAGAACAATACATCAATATTTATATGGCATTCGGGGTTATTTCTTCGACCATTATATAAACTAGTTTGTTTATAATAAACTAGCTAGTTTATTTGGTCGAAGGTTATTTTAAACTTGTATAATACTATAATGCCATAACCTCAAAAAAAGTCTGCAGGGCAGCGCTCAATTGTACAGCGGCCAAATTTTGAAATGGATTTGCCCCACTAAGCGGAATGCTGATAATGTATAGTTATCCGACTTTATCTTCTAAGACCGTGGTTTAAACTTTAAATAGATATTTAAAAAAATATCTTTATACAATACCTACTGGTTATTAACACGAATTAAGATTTACCAGGATACGAAACGAACTTGTAATATTAGTTACTTGTTCTCCCGGTGAACGCAGAACAACCTTATAAACCGCTAGTAGTCTAGCCGCAACGTGAGAAGCGGGGGTACTCAGAAAAACATTGATTTCCGTTCCGTATTCTATATATCTTAACTCGTGGTTATAAGTTACAACATATCATAAATAACAGCAGAATTCATTAACATGAGATAATACATGATAATTATTAAAATATGAATAACCATATTATAATTTATTAGGTATTTAATAATTTTTATAATATAATCAGATTATTAATAATCAATTAATTAAAAATGAATATATTTTTAAATGATAACAATATTGACCACTTACCATCATCGTAATAAGCTGGACCCAGTCGAATATAAGGAGTATTAGTTGAACCCCATAATGGATTTTCTAAGTTATTGCACGTTCCATCAATGGTTCTATATTTAGAAGTGCTATTGCAAGTAACCGATGGTGCGCAGTTTTTATAATACGTGTCGCTTATTTCCACATTTTTAGCTAAATTTACTTCAGGGTAAATATCAGTCTAAAAATTAAAAAGTAAATTATATAGATAGTTGGAACAGTATAAATAGAAAATTTTTTTCGAATCATTATTAGTTAATACCCAATAATTATTTTGTATTTATTTTAAATACAAGGAATGATACTTAGGTAATATTAAAGAATTAAATAAAAATATATCTATCACATATCACTACTCACTATACAGAACATACCCTGATCGGAGCGATGAATGTATTGATTTTACAATAATGTGTGTGTGTGTTTTTTATTTTTTATTATTGTTATTTTTATTTGTGTCTGTCATCACTTTTTGGGATAGTAAAAATGCTTCGATTTTCTTCAACAGCATCTTTTCTGGTGGGAAAGTGAATCTAGTTGGAACTTTGGAAGGTCAAAAGTAAAAAATTCCGAATATTTTTCAAGATTCATGAAAACCAAACAAAAAATTAAGTGACAACTGAGATTTTCACTCAAAATCAGTTTTTGGTGTAACTCTTAAAAATATTACCGCAGATAGGTACATTCAATTTGTATAAATGTTTATACATATTTAATATAAAACATATATATATATATATATAAAGTTATCTTTAATCTTTCCAGTTTCCGATCGTATAGGGAAAGTCAGAACCTGGTAGAAAATGGGAGGGACTCAATCAGATGTTCTCATAATGAGCTTTTCTTATATCTGAAGGTGTAATTCCGCTCAAGATTATAATTTTTTCTATCGGTGACGGTGTGGGTTTCAGGCCGGTAATTATCTTATTTGTGATGTCCAGGTCTACATCCACGCGTTTCGCATGTACCGACTGCGCCATACTGAGATAACGTACTCCCCAGCTGAGTAGCAAAGGACCAGGCAGGCTGTAGTATCATTGAGCAAGCACCCCATCTTGTTCCAACTAATTTTCGATATAAGTTATTTCTTGAATCAATTTTTTTTCGCCTTAACTTCTCAATACACTTAAAATGTAAGAGCACGATCTAATTTCACTCCTAGGTAGTTAAGGTTATCTACATGGCGTATTTTTACCCCTTGCCAGCAATGGCGCCGGAACAATTTTTGAACTGTGGGGGCTAAGCACAGCTACAATTACAAAGGAAGGTAAAGATTTTAGCGTGTTAATTAAGGGGTCAACATAAGGCTGGTATTAAATAAAAAAAATAGGTAGTAGAAAATAAAAATTCTTTAATAATAATAAAGAAAAACCACCAACTTATTTTAATTTTTATATAGTTACTTACCAATTTTAATAATATATACGCACACATATAATACAAATAAAAATGAATAGAAGTTTAATTCAATAGTTCAAATTTTTCCAAAAACACATTTTTTCTCCGGTGTCCTTATAAATTCTTTTAAAATGTCATCCAAAAGTATTTCATTGAGTATATTTTGATTCGGATGTATTAGCAGCAAATGAGTTAAACGCTTTTCAATCATAATGGAACGCAAATAGGTTTTTAAAGATAGTTTACTGTATGTGTATCGTGTATGTTAATACTTAAAAACAGACAGTTTATTAAATATATTTGAGCTTTAGTCACGGGAGCGTAAATTATAGGAAACTATCCGTGGGGGCAATTGCCCGCCCCCATTGTTCTGGCGCCCATGCTTGCCAGTTAACGTTCAGTTTCCTTGTTGCATCTCGATTTCTAAGATGGTATGCTCACACTTGTGTCTTGTAGGGGTTTGGCTATAAATGGTTTACATTATAGTATTCAATTAATGTCTCTAAAGACGTCTTAATTGTTTCCTCTATTTCTATGCAACTGCTTCCCTGTGTGGCTACTGTTAGGTTATCAATATACAAAAAAATGAATCGTTGCAAGTCCTCTCGGCTGATCATTTGTATAAATATTAAAAATGAATGGTATCAGAACTGTCCTGAGGTAAGATATTATTTTGCCTCTTCCATTTGCTATTTTTCTTCTAGAACATTAAGTCTTTTAGTAGCATTCTAATTATTCTGGTAAACTTAGAGTCTTTCGTAAGTTCATAAGTCTTCTTCTTAAGCAGTTAGTGGTTGCATATATGCAACACCAGTAATAACCTATTTCTCATAACTACTCTCCATACGATTTTCGAAGTTCACTGCTTGGCTCGTACAAATTTTTCCCGGTCAAAACCTAGCTTGTTCTTTGATCAGATTATCATCTATCGAAAGTACAATTATATTTAGAATAATTTATACATATGGCATAGCAGTGCCACTAGTTGGAAATCGCTAGCATCATTACCCACTTTGCCTGATTTGATGAGTTCTACTATACCTTTGAATTTAACCAAATCTTTGAACCTTTTTCCATTTCTAATCATTGAACATTACAAAAATCCAAATTTTAGTTATCAATCCAAAGATTTTGATCTATTCTGTCCAAGTACCATCCACTCCTGCAGTCTTCTTTAGTTTCATACCATTTATAGTCGTTTGTATTTCATCCATTGTAATTCTGTTCTTAAAACTTCAATCTACACCATCGGTACTTCTGTTGATTTTAGTGATACTTTTTTTTTTCGTGTCTTGCCATTAATTATAAGTGAATGTGCTATTTTTGGAGTGAGGTGATGTTAAGATGTACTTTTGTTTGTGTTTTTTCGTTATTTGAGTGCTTTAGTAGTTCCAAAGCCTTACGGGCTATCTGTCATATTTAGATTTTCTATAGTCTATTTTATTTATCCAATCATTCCTACTCTCGTTAGCTATCTGTCAGTCGAGATTTTCTCCTAACTCTCGTTTCCGAGAAATGGTCATTCTCATATTCCTTTAAATCTTTAATTTCTTTAAATCTTCTATTCAGTCTTGTCTTAGGCCTGAGACATCGTTTTGTCTAAATTCCTAGGATCGTCTTCCTAGCTATCTTATGAACGATTTTACGAAAATGTTCATAATTGGTAGAGCTCGGTTGAAAATAGTTTGATTCATTATCTAGTGGCTTGGAAAACTCATCCAATCAAGGATTTTTAAAATGAAACCTTCGTTGAAAACTAAAAATTCTAGGCTTCACCTCCACATAAGTGCGACACATCATGGATCTATGTTTTAATATTGGACGTCAATGTGAATTTATGGCACTGGGATTCTATTCCCGCACTTGCAAAGATGTTATTAGGGTTGTGTTCTCTACATCAGCGTCCACTATTAAAATTAGCTGGAACCTTTGAGTCATGCAATAACATTGATTTTGACCCATCTTACATTTGGTCTATTTTGTTGATAGGATCTTTGCCTTTATTGGACACATAGAATATCACACTCTACTTTCTTGCACATCTCAGATATCAATATTTCTTTCTTTGGTGCTAAGCCTTCAATATTAATTGAAACCATCGCGATATTAGGCCCTGAAAGGATCGTTTCACCATCTGGCCGTGGTTGGTAGAATTAGCCAGCAAATATAGCATTATTTAAAAAGTTCTGAGTGGATCTCGGTAAATTATTAATTAAGTTTCTAAGGTTTTTACCTAATTTTTGAATTAAGTACCTACATCAAAGAACAAAGTCGTTTTTTTCAAAAACTGTAACCTTATTTTCATAAGTTTCTATTTAATTTTTCACAGTTATTAAGTAAAGCTCTGTCAAAAAGTAATGACTAACACAAAAATAAAAAGAAGATACGCACACTATTGTACAACCAATACCTACATTCATTGCTTCGCAGTTCAATCCACTTCTAACACTTATAGTACCTATACTCTGTCCAGCGAGAGAACGCGCCGATTCTGCGCATTTCCCCGCGTCTCCTTGCTATCGAAACCGGTTCCCCTATGGCAGAGTGTTGTGTGGGGGAACCAGTTTTGGTCGGTGCGCGGCGCGTTCTCTCGCTGGACAGAGTATATATAAATTGGGTTTCTATGCAATATAATTGGTTTTAAAAATACTAAATAAAATGTATAACTAACCTGAATACTTGAACACCAGAATAATGCAACCAAAAATACTAAAATAAGTGAATTATTCATTGATCAAAAATGTCTCCACACATACTGTAAAAAATAATACTATATGGTAATAAATGTTGGCAATTTTTTTTTTTTTTTATTAGAGACTATACAATCTATACCCACAGGCATAATGAGAATATGTGCTATATTATATTAAAAAAACATGAATAAGGTGAGGGAAGAAACCATCCAGTGATCACACTTCCTTAAATGTTGGCAATTATAAAACCCAACAAAAAAACTCCGCCAAACTCTGAGTAAAAAAACGCTAAGTCTAAAAAAATGGCTCTAAAAGTAGTGACATCATTTTATAGCTAAGTCTTTGAACTGTAGATATAATTTATGTTAAAATAGTCTGCTGAATAATTGAAGTTAGCATGATGACTTTAAAATACTTGATTAGATATGATAGTAGTCAATTATGTAGTATGTACAAGCTACCTAGTCAATATTAACATAAGTTTTCAAAAGGGCTCGGAAAAACAAAATAAAAATTTTTAAAAAAACGGGAATTTTTAAGCAAAATCGGTTTTAATCACATTTTCCATTTTTTTTAGTTTTTTTTCTAGAAATATCAATAAAATTTTATTTGTTGGTTACAAAAGCTTGAAAATTTAGTAGAAGGCTCCTAGTATATTGTTTCAAAGGCAGATGAAAAATATTAAGATTCCTTAGTCACAGTTTTTTTTTTAAGCATTTAAGTTCAAAAATTGACAAAATATGGAAAAATCACGAAAATTAGCAAATTATTTTGAGTTTAGAATTCGTAAAACATTTTCTTTTTAATTCTAAGATTTGAAAATATAATACAAGATTCCTTATAAGATTATCTACCTTTATCAAACAAAAAATGTCTATAAGAAAGTCAAAATAAATTTTTATGAGCGTTTGAAATTCAAATTTTTACAACATTGGATATTCACTTGATTTCTCATGTAGCGATTTCCTTATTTTGTTGTAATTCAAAAACTAACAACTGTAGATACATGAAAATTTCACTGAATGTTTAAATTAGCATTTTCTATACACCATACAATTTTAAAAATATTTTGACTCTTTTTGAGCTGTGTACGGACATTTTCAGTTTTAAATTTTTTTTAGTTATTTTTTCTATAAATATCAATAAAGTTTTATCTGTTGGGCCAAAAAGTGTAAGAATTTAATACAAGACTAGCTCCTGATATATTGTTACAATATCAGTTCAAAAACATTGAAAATACACACGCACAATTTTTTTTATAAGCATCTAAAGTTGAAATTTTGACAAAATGTATCAAAATCTCGAAATTTATCAATCATTGTAATTCATAAATTATAAAATGTTCAGTTTTTATAGCTAAGGATTGCAAATTTAAAACAAAGATTCTCATAAATAGGTCATACTGTAACCAAAAAATCTAAAAAATATATGAACACAGTTATTTTTTACAGACATTTTAAATTCAAATTTCGACGAAATTATATATTAAAAAACCTAGAATAATTATTTTAGTTATTTTGTTGTGATTGAATAATATTATTCATGGGTACTTGAAACTTCTAAAGTGTACTATTATATATCTATGATAATTGATAGTATCACGGTTTTTGTTAATGTGTAACGCGTTATAAGTACCTAATGGATATTGTGATATGATTAATTTGGAATTTATTATAGGTACCTATTATAGGTCAATTTTTTGTTTAATATCATAGATATGTATATAATATGTCTTATACCTAAACTGACATACCGTCTCCGCTCAGAATCGTTTTTCTTATACAATGATATTATATCGTTGAATTCAAATTTAATATCATACATTATACAGTGACCCACTTGTAACCTACTGTACAGCAGAGCGACACCCACTTGCCCACCTTTTTTTTTTTTTAATACCTTAAATAAGTATATAATATGTCTTATACCCTGACTGACATAACTGAATCGTTTATCTTATACAATGATATATCATTGAATTCAAATTTAATACCATCCATTATACAGTGACCCCCTTGTAACCTACTGTACAGCAGAGCACCTTTTTAATATTTACTTTATTATTAATTACATTATGAAAATAAATTGAAAATACGCCACTGCATTTAGGTACTTACTGGACAAAACGAATAACATAAACCGACTGATAAGTTATAACATTAAACAAAAATAAGTATATACCTACATAATACAGCGTAGTTACTTACTATTAGAATTATTTGTAAATTCAATTGTTATCAATCTGAAATGTGTTGAAAATACTTATCTACGCCAATACAAAATAACACATATTTTACACTTAAATAATTGTAACGAATCTTTTCATAGGGTAGGTATGTATTAAGTTCACTTTATTTAATTCTACTAGGTACGCAGGTAATTGTAAAATTAAACACAACTTACGAAAAAAAAAAACCATTACCATTACTTATGTAAATTATGTGTTTAAAAAATCCAGATTAAAATATAATATAATTACCTAAATGGACTTTTGTACAAATCAAATTACATTAATTATTTTACACAATACCTATATCATAACATTATTAAAACTGTAATAAATTACAAATTTTCATTGTAAACCACGAAACAACACTTGTTTTTTTTTTTTTTTAATTTATTTGTTAATAAAATAAATTTACGATCTGTAAACACAATAATAATGAAAATGAGTAAATAGTTTGATATTTGTGTATTTTGACGTGGCGGAATGAGGGAAGGGAAGGGAGAAAACCTGGAGAGGTGTCCATCGACACTACTTCCAATTGTATGAAATTATGGAGGGGAGGGGCTGGAGAGTATATATTTGCTATATTATATGCTATAGTATAATATTACACTAAATACTAATTAATAGCCTAACCCATTATATGACAGAGAGGGTTGTTAGGTAATATGAGAGAGAGTTAAGATATGAGAGGTTTGTGTGCTTAAATGAATTTTATAAAAATGTTTATAGTGATAGGAAGAAACTGTTAAATGTAATATAATAATATATATAATATATTAATTATATGTAGCTAATATGAAAGATAAATCTAATCTGTACCTACATGCTATATTTTAACTGCGTATAATGGCAATTTAATTCATGTAAAAAGCTCTAAAAAATAATTCAAATTTCACTTCTTAAAATTAGACACCAAGTTGTAGCAAACAATTTCCATATTTTAAATTACGGAATCTACCTATAATAATATAACAACTGCAATAAATTACAAATTCGTTTTAAATCACAAAATAACACTTGTGCTTAAAACTATTTTCCTAATAGTTATTTACATATTAACATTTGGTCCTTGTATAAACATAAAATGGAATGTACCTAATCAATTTAATTAAATGAGTAATATGTATAGTATCTATATTTAGGTATTATGTAAGAATATTAAAATTGAATCCGATCTGTACTTGGTATAATTTAAACTACATAATACCTATAATGACATTTAAAATACTTTATTCCATTAGCCTTTAAATACAATTCAAATTTCACTTCTTCTAAACAATATGACCAAAGTTCTTTAAACTCTGTTTAAACTCGTAGAAATTAAAAATATACCAACAATAAATTGCTTTTTCTATGAACTAAAGTAAAATGCAATTTCTATTTTCTTCATGACCACGTCATAATTACAACAATATAATTTCGATTATATACAATAATAATTATACATTTATATATTTTATATCCCGAGTGGAACGATAAATGTAGTACTGGTTTACAATGTTTTTTTTTTGTGTGTGTCTGTCATCAATTAGGTCATCACCTTCTGGAACAGTAAATTTTTGGTCCGTTGAGACTTCATAATACAACGGCAATGATCATAGAGTATAGCATTACTACATAATATGTCTTAACCTATAGAAAAATAAGCTTCCAAATACCTTTCTGGTATTTATTTTCTAACATGGCCAAGTAGTACATTAGCTGCGAAACAATTTGAAACTCTTTTTGAACCAAACTCTTCAAGATCTCAACAGACATAGAGTAAAATTGAAATATTTTAATATTCTCTAACATTGTGTCATTATCATTGAAGCCACTGAAAGTACAATAGGTAAAACCATGATTAAAGATATAGTATGGTTGCCTAACGATCTGTTGTAAAAGTGCAATTACATGACCGACGATATGAATTTATACGGTTTGTATATCGGACGGGTTGGTGGGGCTAACTTCACTATCGTGTTTTCAGGTCCTATATTATGAAAAATATTTCAAAGCTCAGAAAAATAACAATCTCCATCAGGGGCGAAAAGGGGGTACTTACGTTAAGTGAACGTAGTCCCCCGAGTAATGGCGTAAAGAATTTGCACTCCCACAGCCCAGTACGATATGTGTTGCAATAGTATTTAATTGGTGGTTTAAGGGGGTTTACGATCCGTCCCAATAAAAAAAACCATTCTTAAGAAATCAAAAATGCCTTTTTAAAATGGAAATCGGAAATGTAAAGAGATAAGATCTTGCGGTGCATCCGAATTGCATGCCAAAAAAATAAATATAAATCGGGTCGTCCGAATTGCATGCCGTCTCTTGGAGGGGTCTGTCCGAATTGCATGCCGTTCCTTGGAGGCGTGAGGGGTCTGTCCGAATTGCATGCCATCTCTTAGAGGGGTATATCCGAATAAATAACTTACTTTTCAACTGGAGGATCGGGATTTTGTTACATTACAATAAAACATATAAATATTGTAGAAGGTGACACTGTGAATAAGAATCATAAAATAAAACTATTTTTTTTTCATCGACAACAAAGGCCATTCATTAGTTAAATAAAACTATTGTAGTTTAGGGTAATCAAGTGAGTGTATTTTAAATAATATTATTTTTAAATTTGGTGGTTTTTTTTGACATTTCGGGCACACAATATTACAATTTAAATAAACAAAATAATATATAATAATAATTCATAATAATAAAATATGTCAATATAGAAACATCTTTTTTTGAATAATAAAATAGTATAATAGCATTTTTTAAAACGGTTAATATTACAATGAAAAATTACGTTACAGTATAATAATAATAATAATAATAAATTAAAAGAGCGTTTCTATACATGCATTTTTTTTTAAAAAAATTAGGAAAGTCCAAAAAAAAGTTTAAGTTGTTTAAGTGCATAGTAAATAAACGTGTGGTGTACGGCATGCAATCCGGACAAAGCCCTCTAAGAGATGGCATGCAATTCGGACAGATCCCTCCAAGAGATGGCACGTAATTCGGACAAACCCCTACAAGGGACGGCATGCAATTTGGACATTTCTTTTTTTTTGGCATACAATTTGTATGCAGCCAGATCTTGGGACACGCTGAGGTCGTATCACACTAGAGCTTGTTAGAATATAACTTAATATTTTAGTGAAAGAGTACCTACAATGAGTAACAATCGCTGCACTACATAGGTAGGTATCTTAATTATCGAAATGAATAAACAAAAAAATTAAGGAAAACTGGAATTTTTAACAAAATTTCGTCAAAATCGATATTTTTTTTTTTGTGGAATTCTATTAAAAAATAACCGTAGAGACTAGAGAGATGACAATATGACATTTTCTATACAGCATAAATATTTTGAATGTTTTTGAGCTATTAATAGGCATAAAAAAACGACTGATGATCTCTAAAAAAGATGTCTAAAATATTATTTTGATAAGAAACAATTACTCATTTGTAATATTGGTAAAATTAAATAAAAACTTAAAAGTATAATAAGTAGATCTACTAACAGAATAAGACAAATTTAACTTAAATCAATTTTTTTCACACCGACATATTTTTTATTTCAAACAATACAGTCCAAATGTTTGGATGAAAATTTAAAAAATATTTATCTTATAATAATATTGACTGTCCTTGGGCACACGTTTTTCCTACAAGCGCTTGAGGATCGCCGATAAGCCAGTAATATAATTTGCTGTAATTAATTTTATTAATAGATAGCTGATAATCGTAAACGATCTAATGTTGTACACCATACGTCATACGACATCATCACCACAGTGAGCCGTGGTGCGCACTATGCGGATTCCGGGCTTTTATTCGATTAGGATTACAAAAAATTGTAGGGAAATGCTTTAAATGCATATTATAGGGGTTTTAAGAGCATAAGTGATTGCATATTTAGTGCTTTTTTAGAGCTACAAGTCCTCTGCCCTACTTATAATCAATATCTATAACAAAACAATAATTTATAATACTTGTGTATATTCTTAAAAGGACGCTTCCCGGATATTTGTTGTCTCTGTCTTACAATTGCATAACATAGCAAATTTACGTTCAGCAGATCACGTTGAGCGCTGTTAGTTTCAAAACTATATAGTGAAACTTGATGGCAAGACACTCTCTGTATTCATATGTTTATTTTTTAAGGTTATTCAGTTTTTAAGTGAGTTATGAGCATTTTTAATTTACACCATATTATACACGCATAACTTTTGAACAATTTTAACTATACTCATACAGGTGTCCCCTTAATAATAATAACAAGTTTTTGTTATTTTCCCTCAATAATTTATTAACTGTATACCTATTAATATTGGGCTTTGGTAATTTTTCCTCTAGACTAAAATTATATTTATACTGTAATAAGTAATAACTATAATGTATGATCATAAACTTAAGACTTACCAATTTATTTTGTATATCCAAAGATGTAATTATGTAGGGTGGATCTGAACATAATGAAACAGATGATAATAATGAAGCACCTAGTACTTGAATAAAATTAAACGTATGTTGAATTTGGTAACCATGCACAGTAGATACTAGATATACAGCATAGCTAGTTAAAGATCCATTTCCACCAATTAAAATCAGCTCATATGACCTAACAATAATTCAAATAACTTACAATAACTTACAATATACTTCAATATTTAAAACAGTACCTACCTATAATAGAAAAACATGATTATGCAATCAACATTTTAAGAGCTATAAATGTACCATTTTGAAGACTGAGTTCGCAACTCTAAAAATACCATTTCCTTGGTGAATTTATTATTGGTAGGTTGTTAAGTACTATTTTGGATCTTTTGAAAACATACAAAAACAGTTTAGTTATTAAAAATGGAAGTCATATTAATTAAATCAAATTAAATCAAATTAATATACATTCATAAAAATGTTATTAAAACTAAATTTTAACTTACAGATTTAATAACAAACAAATTTGAGGCTAAGAGATCATAGCAAGCAATGTGACCATGTGAAGTGGCAATTGTGAAAATCGAACAATCTGGACTTCATGACAATACTCCTTTTGATGGGTGTAACTCATTTGATATTAAATCAGGTACTAAACAAATAATTTTAATAGAACTTTTATAAAACGTATTTGTCATATAATTGCAGGTACTGTGTTTACCCTTTATTCAACTAAAAGAGTACATTTATTAAATAATATAAAACTATTCATCCAAAATATGAATAAATAATAATAAATACAAGGATGTAAAAAACAAAATATCATAGAATTAAAATATTACTTAAATTAAAAATATATATACTAACCAGAATACTTTCTAAATAATTGTGTATTAAAACTAAATAAAAAAAAATTAAGGATATTGGTAGTTTAAATCACCATAAATCACAAATAATAAATATTGATAGTTCATAATATATACAAATTACAGTACTTTTCTAGTTTTCTAGTTTTGCTGGGCAGTAGAACCGAACTATATTTTAAAAGGGGTGGCAAGTAAAAAGTTATACGGACCACCACCCCTGTTTATATATGTTATGCATATGTATACATTATAATAGCTTAGGAGTTAGGAACATAATTCATAAATAATTTGCTGGGGTACCCACGGACCCCCACAACCCCACCCACCGAAAAAAGGGGGCGGTCGCCCCTCTTGGGTTATAGATTCTGCGCCACTGATGCCAGGTATATAATGTATTATGTACTATGGTTGCTAGTCACTAGTCGCAATAACCGAAAAATACCCAAATTATATGGATAAAATTATTATAAATAAAAATTTAAAATTGATTTTGGTTAAAGTTGAAACAAAAAATTATGATTCAAGCCAGGTTGGTTATTTAAATTTAATGAAAAATATTAATCAAGTTTAATCAAACAAATTATGTTGAGTATGGTGTAGAAAAAAAGTGTTACATTAAATATTAATACATCTTACGTTGCTTTGGCTATAGTCTTATCATAATGTTTCTCTGTGCTCATTTAAAGTATATTATGTTGGACAACAAACATGATTTGGCCATGATTGCCTCCAATACAAAACTTCCATGTTGGTTCATTAGAAATAATATTTCTAAAGAAAAATTTAGAAAATATTTTAATGCATCGATGTAATCAACAACACTTAGAGGGTTTTTCTTGGAGGATTATTCCTGTAAATAAAAAAATGGCAATAAAACTACTAGAATAGGTATATATTATTAAATTGATTGTTGTTATTTGATGGTAGGTACTCTCCAAATCTATAGTTTCATGCCATTGAACGTAATCCGATACGATGTACAAAATTTCTTATCTCATTTCGGGGTAATATCAAATACTATTAAGTTTATACATCATTAACTAGTTAAAGAATTTAAATAATTTAGGCAAGGCTATGCACTTATTACTTAACAGCCAATAGGTAAATAATAAATAGTATAAATAATAGTATAAATAATATAAGGAATTCGATATTTTTCAAAATATAAATGCCAGCGTGTTATCAATTATTATCATTATATTTAAATTTTAAATAATTCTTTAATCGTGATAAAAATTTAAGTAAATGATAAGAACATGGGTCTGAAAAGTGAAAAGTTTTTTATTGTGAAGATTCATATTTTAATTAATTGTTAGAAACTTAGTGTTATCATAGAACAATACTCAGTAACATATAATATGATCTTATGAATAATAAATTTAAATGTAGATCTCCGGTATTACCACCACATCCAATTTTTTTTATTTATAATTTATACTAATATTGAATACAATTTTTATATGAGTTTTAGTATTTAGCTTATGTTTTATTACTTTTATTTGTAACTAATCAATTATTTATCTTTACTATATTAGTTTCTACTTAATAAAACTAATTGGAAAGAAAAAAAATAACAATGCACAAATTTAATAGGTAATGTATAATTAATTTATCCTGAAAATTATTCTTTGGTGTAACTAATGGAGAAGGAAGAACGTAAAGAAGTATATGGTAAGCATAATCAATTATTATTGTTGTCACTATGTTTTAAACTAATTGATCAATGTAATTTTAGTTATATTAAGATGAAAAAATGTATTAAATAGGTAGGTATCTAATGCAGTTTCTAATTGTTCAAATTTACAGATACTCCAGTCACCGACGAAAATGGATCTCCTATCAGCATTGTTTGGAAACCTGATTGTATGTATTTGTTTCAAATAAATACCTACTATAAGGAAAGCAATTTATTTAGTACTTCCAATTATTGTTATAGTATATAAGCTCCAACAAGAATCCCCCAAGCCTCAGCCAGTATTTGCACCTAGTGCTGTATCCGGATGTCCATTTTTCTATGGTCTTGAATATCATGGAACAATGAACCACAAAGAAGCAAATTCATTATTAAAAGACGATGGTAACTATCTTATACGACTAAGTACCAGTTCAGACGATAAAATGTATACACTATCTTTAAGGTAGGTAAATAGAATTTTAATTATTCATTTCACATGCTGTTAATTATAAACAAACCAATTCATTGTATTTTTTTAGAATATTTGGAAAAGTCCATCATTATAAATTATTTTATGACGGACAACATTATGTGTCACAAAAACGTTTTAATACAATTAATGATCTTGTTGCGGATGGTTTGGTAAGTTAAATTATATGTAACAAATAATATTTTAAATAAAAAAACAAGGTTAAATTACTTATAGCACTGTAAATTATATAAAATTGAAAATTGTACATGTTATAATTAATTACATTTTTTTTTTCAAATTATCAATGAATTATACTCTACCTACTTCAGCAAAGTCTTACACATCTTTTTATTGTAATTACAAATTATCAATTAATATATTTTAGTTAGTACCATTATGAATTTTTTTATATTTTAATCAAATTAGTTTTTATAATTAAATAGCAATTTCCGGGACAGTCAATTCCTTGTTGTGCCAGTAAAAGTTTACTTATTTTTTGTTTATGATGCTGGCCCATGATGTTTTTTTTTTCTTCTTTTTTAAGAATCATGAAAGTTTTTTCATGTTTTGAATGTGAGTTCCACTAGCAAAAGTAACTTGCTATGGTTTTTAATAGGATTGAATTAATATGAACATATTATAACTTGATTTTCTTGACTGCGTACAATGATTTAGAAAAAAATTTGTTAATATCTTTTTGTATTGATATTATGATTTTGTTATATTTATCAAATAGTCCACTAGGCTATTAAAAACATTATAAATATGTATATTTATAATTTTACTTTTTGTACATTAAATTGTTCCCAGAAATATAATTGCTTGTACTGAATTAAATTAAATAATTTTGTATTATATTATTTTTAAATTTATAAAAATGATGTGTTTACAACAGGTGACATTGTATATGGAATCTAAAGCTGGAAAATACATCTACTTAATGCATAGTTTAATAAGTTATGAGAAAAGCCCTTATATGACATTAAATAAACTCAAGCGTAAAACAATCAAAAAACTAAAACCAAGGCAGCTTAATTGCGAAGAAGTAGTGGATTACGACAAACCTCACAATTTTAAAACACATAATTTTAAAGGGCTTAATTGGTGTGAGTTGTGTAGTAACTTTTTATGGGGTTTTACACAGCAAGGAGTGAAATGTGAAGGTATATAATATAAATATTTAGATTTTAGATAGATGTTGTTTCTTTAGTTAAACAAATTAATTGCAATATTGTTTTAGATTGTGGTTTCAGTGCACATTTTAAGTGTTCTGAAAAGTTGCCACCAGATTGTTATCCAGACTTAAAATTGTTTCGAGGTGTTTTTGGCATTGACTTAACAACTCATGTTAAGGCCTATAAAACTAATAGACCGTTTGTTGTAGACAAATGTGTTGAAGAAATTGAAAGGCGTGGCATGTCTGTTGAAGGAATATACAGAGTATCTGGTTTTCAGGAAGAAATGGATAGTTTGAGATTAGCCTTAGACAAAGGTAGACTTTTAATTACTTCTGAGTTCTATACTTTCAAAAGGACATTAAAAAAATATATATTGAATTTTAATTTAAAATAATTTGATTAAGAACAGTTGAAATAAAAAAAATTTATTTGTATTATTGACCTTCTAAAATGTATAAGAATAATTGTTTTCAGACGGTAAAGGAACAATAATGGACGATCAAGCTTATGAAAATATCCATGTAGTAGCTAGTATTTTAAAAATGTACCTCAGGTTGCTTCCAATACCACTAATCACGTATGATGTCCATCCTCTTGTCATAAAAGCTTTAGGTAGGTAAACACTAAATATGTTAAATTTTAGATTAAAATTTTGTCCAACAAATTTTCTTTTTTTTAGAAACTCAAATGTCGTGGGAGAGATTAGCTGAGGTGAGGGCCGCTTTGAAAAAATTACCTCCAGCACATTATAACACATTGAGCTATTTAATGGCTCATTTATACAGGTAAATGATTATTAAAACACTATAATTATTTGTTTCGTTGTAATTACTTTTTAGCTATTAGTCAAGATATTTAATTCTCCCTTATAATAATAAACTTTTCAAGTTATTTAAGTTAAATAACATACCCAGTATCCAACTTGTGCACAGGATCTTTTGTTAAATATTAAAATTATTTATGAAATGTTTTTTTTTCAAATTCTTAGCTGTGCCCTAACAACTGTAACATTTATTATTAGGGATATGGTTAATAATTTATTTCTGTACACATTTAGAAAAGTTAAAATATATAAATTCTAAAAATGTTTATTTATATATGATACATCTATATTTAACAAATCAAAGAAAAAACTATTAGATAATAAATTGAATTCTTCTATTTTATTTTTAGGGTGACTTTACGACTAGATGAAAATAAAATGACTGCTCAAAATCTAAGCACTGTTTTTGCGCCAACTCTTATGCCAATGCCTGATTTAATTGATTTCAAAGGTACAATACCCGACATGAATCGCGATATAAGCGCACTACACATGATTATTGAAAACCAAAATATAATATTTAACTAACATTGTATAATCGACAATGGTTTATCGATCACAATAACTACTATGAAAACAAAATTATGTAATATTTTTGAATGTTTTACTTGATTCAGTATTATTTTATAACAATTTTTGTTTTATAATTTTAAAATGAACATTTTATATGGAATTCAATTTTTTTATTATTAACTATATTTTTATTCAATTATGTTTTAATATTTATAAATTGATGTATTTAACTTTATGTTATTTCATATGGGTAAATTTTTGTATTATTGAATGATATTTTTTATGTTTTATAAATATATATATATTACCAAGTTCACAATATAAATAGTTTTATGGGAGAAAAATCAAATTATTATTAAGACTTGGTATATTTATTATTGATTATAATATATATATGAGTAAACACTCATAATTAATGTAGAAACTAGAACTTCATTGAAGCACAAGCTTATCAAATTAAGGTTGTTTTTTACAATCTTTATTTAGAAACTTATACCTCATACCATAGCTATTGTTCATTTAAATAATTGTTAGAAATAAGGAACTGGAAACACTTGTCAATTATTTATTGATTTTAATCATAAACATAAGTATGCAAACAAGGTATTAGGGGTAGGCTGTTGACCACTCAGCGTTTTATTTTTGTGTGTTCACAGTTCTATATTGGAGGTGAATTTCACATGAAACTTTAAATGGATTCCACATTAATATAAAGTATTTATTTTATCTTTATTGCTTATTAATTATTATTATTATTATTACTATTAATATTGAGTCTAAAGACTTTAATGACTGAATGATTAGTCTATATTTATATTATTGGATCTGGATACCACACAAATTTTTGAAAGGGTTAAATACTTGCAGTATAACTTGACTTATTCAAAAACATTTAAAATATGATAACTTTTAAAAAGGTAATTGTGATGTTTTTAAATAATTAAATTATGAATTTATAAGGCAGCGTCCAATCCTTGTTTTGATAAACCTTTTAGATTCTGAGTGAAATGATGAATGTATTGATTTTACAATGATGTGTTTTTTTTTTTTTTGTGTCTGTGTACACGATAAGTAGTCGAAATAATGCTTCGATTTTCAACTTCAATATCTTGTTCGATTGGAAAGTGAATATTGTTGGTGAATTGGGGAGGTCAAAGTTTAAAATTCCCGATTATATTCAGCTTCTTACTTTTTTAGGTTTTTTTTCTATGAATATCAATAAAATTGTATTTGTTGGTTAAAAAAGCTTGAAAATTTAATACAAAGCTCCTAGTATATTTTTTCAAAGGCAGATGAAAAATATTAAAAATTCTTAGTCACAGTTTTTTTTTATAAGCATTTAAAGTTCAAAAATTGACAAAATATGGAAAAAATCACGAAAATTAGCAAATTATTTTGAGTTAAGAATTCATAAAACTTTTTCATTTTAAATCTAAAATTTTAAAATGTAATACAAGATTCCTTATAAGATTATCCTTTATCAAATTATCCTTTATTACCTTTATCAAAAAAAAAAAATGTCAATAAGAAAGTCAAATTAAATATTTATGAGCGTTTGAAATTCAAATTTTTACAACATAGGGATGTTCACTCGATTTCGCATGTAGCGATTTCTTTATTTTGTTGTAATTCAAATCGAATAACTGTAGATACACGACAATTTCACTGAATATTTATATTAGCATTTCTTATACACCATACAATTTTGAAATTATTTTGACTCTTTTTGAGCTGTTTACGGACAATTACAGTTTTCAATTTTTTTAGTTTGTTTTTCTTTAAATATCAATCAAATTTTATTTGTTGGGTAAAAAAGCGTGAAAATTTAATGCAAAGCTCCTGATATATTGCTACAATAGCAGTTGAAAAATATTTAAAATACAGAAGTAAAATTTTTTTTTATAAGCATTTAAAGTTCAAATTTTGACAAAATTTATCACATTTAAAATTTGACAATAATTTTGTAGTTAAAAATTAATAAAATGTTTAACTTTTATAGCTAAGGATTGAAAATTTAAAACAAGATTCCACGTAAATAGGTTATATATAATTACTTTATTCACCTTAATATCATCAAATATACTTTGTAATATCATAGACTAACTGACCGTTTTCGCTCAGAATCGTTTTTCTTATAAAATGATATTATATCATTGAATTCAAATTTACCACCATCCATTACAGTGACCCACTTGTAACCTACAGTACAGCAGAGTGACTTTTTTTAAGATGGATTTGTCATCGATGGTGTCCGGCCAGGAACGGTCCGTGGTCGTTAGAACCGGAAATTGGAACAGCGGACAAAGAGCCGCAAGCTAATAAGGGACGTCACCTCCGCACGTTCTGGCGTCGGACAATGCGGTTTGTCCGCCGCGTATGTTTTGTTGCGGCGCCTACGCGTCCGACGACTCTGAGATCGAAGATTTTCGAGACGCTTAGCAAGTCAGCAGCAAGACGTGAACCGCTGTCGTCTGGACGCATTATACATTTGGTAATAGATTATTGTAGCCTGTAGGTACTTAATTAACGTTAATTACTACAATGTATTACCAAATGTATACCTAATGTATGTAAATATTTTTATATGAATTGTTAGAAATATTATGTTTTTGTATCCACTTATTAACTACCTGTAAAAATAATATATTATGTACGGTTATATTGTTGTAAATAAATTGTTTTTTTATTTTAAAAAGTATATATTTTACATTCTATGCAACAGACAAGGTATAATGAGTAAGTGTGGTGACCATGAATTAAGATAATATATCTTAATTCGTGGTGGTGACATAAAAACATTAGACATAGAATAACATTAATAGGAAGGCTCCCGCAGTGGCGTATTTAGGGGATGAAATATATAATAATTAATAATACACCTATAAATACGTACATAATATACATTTTTGAAATCCCCTAACTTGTTACCTATTGAAGTAAGTGCGGATCAAAGCGAAATAAGAAACACTAACTGTATAGTACCTAATACTTAATAGAATTTATTATCAATTCATACTAGTGCCAATCCCGTGTTTAAACCTTGAAACCTACTGTACAGCTATCCATTTACCCACCTTTTTAGAAATTATTTACATACGAACGTGTAATATGTTAAAATACATGTCTGAATAATCTAATTTGATGAGGTAGAAATATTTTATTGATTATCGAGTTACGCAGATTCCGATATATCGGCTATAGTGGCGACTATTGTTTAAAGGTTGATTATTATTTATATATTTATATTATCGGTAATGTATGACAAAAGCAATTTCTATAACTTCCAATCGTTTTAATTAATTACAATGATAAATATATTATACCCTTAAACCCCATGCATACAACATACATGATTATACATATGTGTTAGGTGTTACCTAACATAACCTTTACCTATGACAATCGGTTGCCAATCAATGTCCGGTTGTCAGAAATACTTGCCCATACACCTACAGCGAAACAAAATTATAATAACATTATATTATATAAAGACGATAATTATTGCTCAATATGGTTGTCATTGGTCAAGCCAGTGACATCCAACACTGGTCCGGAAGAGCGAACGGTAGAGTCCTACAACCACCACTACAACTGAGCTATAACATATTACATAATATATATATATGTATCTCGGGCATGTTTGTTGATTTGTATTATTATTTTATGTCAATATATATTTATATATATATATATATAAATTAATGTTTGTGTGTAGATTAGACCTCTGGGAAGAACACAGACTAATTTAAAAAAGGTTAAATTTGGTTTTTTTTATGTATAATATATAAGCATTATTATAGTTAATAAAATGCGGGACGAGGGGCCAATAAATCGAGGACTACTGGGCGTATTGGCTTTATATGATACATAATAGTGTCAATTCTGATATCAGATACTATTTTGATGTTCTCAAAATTAGTGAATCAAATAGATAGATATTTTTAGATAATTTGTTTATAAATCAAATATTTATGAGCAGTATAATATAATATATATTTATTTTAAAAAAAAACCATAAAATAGGACCTGAATTGGTTGTAAGAGAAATATTAATTTTCTCAACTATTATTTGTCTTGTAAAAAGAAACATATAATTCATGTTATTATTTATTACAATAAAAGAAAGTAATAACACTTCATAGTTATTATTACGTACATAGAATATTATGTTAACTTGTGAAAAATAAATGAATATATTTGATGACGTTTAAATAATATGACGAATTTAACTCAGATATCCAATAAATTATCCTGATCTGGAACTTTCATATTGTGACACAACTCAAGGTAAAGTAGTGACAACGTCAGGTTATTAAAAAAGTATATAGTTAAAAATGGGAATAACTTAATATTTCTAGCATATTACGTAATAGGTATTAATATGTCAAAGTGGCCGAAAACTGTATAGTTATTAATACAAATCAAACTGTGTTCAGGCGCCCACTCATAACATTATTAATTATTGTACCATGTAATTTTCAATTTTATCATAAAACTTCGAAGTCCATTCAGTGTTTCTCTTAATAGACTCAATTGTCTGATTGATAACCAAATCAGCTCCTTTTAAGTAACCCGATGATTTATTAATAAATGATTGGATCTGTAAGAAAAAAAAACATTTGAATGAAACCTTTGGTTTTTTAAAAAATAACTTGATTTGTTAATTACCTCTTCTAATTCTTCTTCGGTTTTCATTTGAGACCCAATAACATTAACATATCTACCTACACGATCGCCTCGAGGTTGGTGGCTATAAAAATAATAGGTAATATGAACTTTCAATTTATTTTAATTTGTTCATACTACATAATATGAATATTGACGTTAACAAAATAAAATTTCATGATAACTCACTATTCAGATATATCTGCAATTCTGTGGTACAAAAAGTGTTTTGCTACTGAAAATCCAGCATCATTTTTGGCTACAGAAAAAAATACTGTTAAGGCGTCTTGCTTGCGAATAATAGAATTATCAAGTGACCAATTCAAATATCTAAATCAAAAACAATGTTAAACATTATTGTGTTGTCTGTATTACGCATAAACGGTATTAATACCTCTGTAGTAACAATTTTCTCGAACTACATCCTAATGCATGAAGTATATTCTCTTTTTCATGCCCCAAATTGGAACGCTGATAACGTTCCCATAAAAAGTTCCATTCGTCTACACCTCCACATTTTATAGCTTGACAGTAAATAACGGGTTTCAGTTCTATAGGCAATCTAGTATATTTGGATTATAGTTAGTATTTAGTTCAATTAAGCTTCGATAAAACTCACGTGTTATTATTGTCTGGATCTATAATTTTCATCCACTTTCTAAACAAGTCCAGAGCTTGTTGGGTACAGTTCTTTATTTGGTGACTACAGGCTTCGGCAGTCACGATATTTTTAAAACGTATGTCTTCAACACCATTAGTTTGACCGTTCATGTTTCTGAATTTGCTATACACAGACGACAACATATGTTGCATATAGTTCTGAAACCATGTTTCATTAAACAACGTCCATACGACAAGTAAGTACAACAGGTAAATATTCAAAATATAATAAAATTAACAGGGAGTTCGGGACTTATAGCAGTTGATTGACTATATTGCACGAGTATAGCATATTGTTATTAGATTTTTGTATGCCATACAAAATAAATTTGTTTTAAATTATAGGGGGCATTAAATAAAATTATGATATTTTATTTTGCATATTTTTGATCCTATCATCTTTGGATGTGGCGTATCTTCTTGATGTATAAAATTGAAATCGTAACTAGGAGTCTACTGAAAGAACATTTGCGCACTGAACAATGATTAAATAAAGTGTGTCAATACTCTATGATGAGATTATTTCAAATTTCTGCTAACTTATATCTGAAAATTTAAATCAATTACTAATTTCCAGTAGTTGACAAAACACTTACAAATTCACCTACAAATCGACATCGATACTCATTTTCAGGAGTTACCTAAATTATTAAATGGTTCCGGACAAAGAAAAATATCAATATTTTGGCTTGGTCGTGGTGACTTGTCGGGTCTGGGAACAGTCACTGGACGACGACATGTCACGAAGCCCCGTCACGCTAAGGTACCTTTATTCTTATAGCTCATCGGTAGAAGTCCCAGACGTTTATAATTAATAATAAAATAAGAAATGCCTTTTATACTAACTTGGAACACTGCATGTTTTGGAGTCCTTTTTAGTAAATTATTTATACGGTCCAAACCATGGAAAGCAGCCAACCATGGTGCATACTCTTTTTCGTGTTTTAGATATTTCAACAGTTGGAACGTAATTCCATAGTCCATATCACCGACTTGTGAAAAGCTAAGCGAATCGAAGATCAGCTGTACTCGGTTTAACATGGGTATAGTTTCGTATTTGGTTGGATCGTTCAGCACAGAAATGATACCCATCCAGTTTCGTGTGTCGTATAACACTCTGAATAAACCTAAAAAAAACATATAATGAACATAATATTATATTATAATTTATCAAACAATTAAAATAGTTCGATTAAATAATAGTAGACCTACCGGCTATCTGCATGTTATAGATGACCCACTTGTTGTCTTTGGCCAATGGCGTGGTGAGGTTGTTGTTTTCGCAATTCAACCAAGATTTCAGATTTGTCTGGTTAAAGTCCCCAGAAGTTGTCATAGTGATTGGTATCCACCAACAACTTTTATTGTCCGTACCGTTTGATTTGATCGTTAGATACCTTTCCTGCAGCAGTAAGTACGTATAGTAGGTATTATATTAAAAAAATATTTTTCGAAAAACAATAAATCTCATCAACATAATATTATAATAAGAAATCCAATTATTTTTGTTCGTGAGCTCACCTGAGACAATGTAACCGTGCCCCCAGAATAATCCCGGACGACTTTCAATACGGGATAGCCGGTTTGCAACGTCCATGTGTCCATTATTTGTTTCACGGTGAGGTTTTTGTCCAAAGTTCCTTGGCGGTGTGCTTCCTCCGTCAATGATCTCCACAAATCATCCTGTTCAGCGTTGGAAAATTTGTGTTTGTGTATGTAGTTTCTAATGCCTTGTTTGAACGTATCCTCGCCAAGGAACGTGTTCATCATGTGCAACAAAAATGATCCCTTTGTGTACGATATCGTGTCAAAAATTTGTGATATATCGTCGGGATGTCCGACGGCTACAGACACAGGATGTGACGATTGAAGCGAATCAAGATCCAAAACGCTTATAAAGTTTTGAACGGTTTCGTCTTGGAAAGAGTTCCATTCGGGATATAGCTATATAGGTAGTATGAAATAAAAATAAAACAATAATATGAACACCTTTTTCCATAAAAAATTAGATATTAACAACCGTCCGACGGTAATGAAACTTACGAAATCCACTCCACGGGCTGCTACGTACGTGGCAAATCCTTCATTCAACCAAAGGTCGGTCCACCATTTCATGGTAACGAGATTACCAAACCATTGGTGAGCAAGTTCGTGAGCGATAACTTCGGCTACTCCGTGTATGTTATCATATGTAGCCACGTCCAGATCAATTAATAATTCGGTCTCTCTAAATAATTATTTGATATGATTTTAGGGCGGGGTATTGGCAGGGTTTTTTTAATGATTTTTTCTGACTGCACAAACTTATTCCCACTCTTGGGTTATAGTAGGGAATTTTTTTACGCAGACCAAACCCTACAGGCTGTTATCCGTTGGACTGTCAGGGGTGGCTCCAGGAACCAGGGGGCCCTAGGGCTATTTCCCAAAGCTGTATTTCTAAACAATTTTAAACTGTTAAAAACAAAATTACAAAAAAAAATCATCAACATTTTTTGAAAATTATGACTTAGTCACCCCCTCCTAATCATGTCTCTGGAGCCGTCAATGTGAACTGTGCCGGCTGTACTACCTAGTACCTACTAACCCACTGTCTACTGTATAGGTACTGTACTATCTACATTTTTTACTTTCATAAGACTGCAAATATAGGTACTCAGAAACGATATGTAAAAACATATAAATCCCGACTCTATCATAATATACCAAATAAATCATTTTATATTAATGCACTATTTTTATTGTAAATTTGTAAATAATAATTTTATATTTTGTTTGTAAATATAAGTAATAATACTTACTAAGTAATATTTACTTGAAATAGGTCATTTGTAAAAATAATTGTTTATAAAAATAAAAATAATCAATTCACTAGGTACCTAATTTCTTTATAGTTTTTGTAATATATTTTTACATCAAATAATAGACAAAATAATAATTTTGACTGAATCAAAATTCATCTAGATTACTACAACTTTTACGAAGAAAATTTATCAAGATATGTTTAAGTAAAAATACTTTTTTTGATTCAACTAAAGAAAACTTTAAGTTATTACATGTGTTACCTACCATTACCAGAACAACTTACCCTTAAATGGGGGCTAAGATTCAAAAAAAAATTGTTATATTGCGCATTCACAGAAAAATAAATGTATTATTAAATCCTTTATACAGTAAAAAAAACTAATATTGAAATTCAACGTCATGCGTTCGAAATATTTCTTGTTATCTTTATCGTTCAACACACTGTGCCTATACAACCGTCGGCGGCGTTGTTATGACTTTATGAGCCACGTTAATAATCAGTGGCGGATTTAACGGTCGTTTAGTCGGAAAATGCCAACGGGGCCCCCACCCAAATTGCGCACCGAGGCCCACCTAAATTATAAAGTTGATTTTTTTTTAATTTTAACCAAAAAAAAATGTATACTTCAAACTAGAATATAATTTACCATTGTTTTAATAACAAAATAGGTTAAATGTATAGGAATACTTCAAAAGTAGAAAATATTATAATTAAATAAAGTAGAAAAGATCGAAGTAATTACTTATATACCTACCTACGTAAATCTAAGTTACGTATTCTACATTCTACCCACTACCATATTGATCACAAATAAGATCATTTATAATTATAAATTAATATATAATATAATTCATGATTGCATAAAAATAAAAACAATAATTTTGTAAGTATAATAACAAACTTTTTATTACTTAATCAGCAGCGTAAATCATGATTTATTGGAAATCGTTTTCGCGATAAATTCGTAATAAATATTGAAAAATGTGGTAGACAGAGCTGTGCATTTAATGCGTTTGCACTATGTTTTTCATATTATTATGTTTATACATTTAACGGGTTAGGAGATTGTTTCTTACAACTGCTATACAATTATTATAACTATAAACAGTATAAAGTATTGATTGCAATTTAAAATAAGTATTATTATTATTAAATTAAGTATAAAATTATAAATAGAGGCAACGAGTAATTGCCTCCACACCACCAATTCACTCTCCAACCTAGCCGACCAGTCCATCACTATATTGTTTTTGTAAATTATTATATAAAATGGTAATTTTATCATCGACTTTTGTGTACATAGCGTCTCCTAAAATGTATGTGTAGTACAAAAAGTAAAGTGTATAGTACGAAATTTAAAAGTGTGTAACTCAAATTAAACCTTTATAATATTATGAAAAATTTTATGGCTTCACTTTTTTTTATATATTTGCATGGCTTTTCATCAAGCTACATTTTAATTATAATCTACATTCTATACACAGGAATTTTATATGCCAACTTTTAATTTTGTTTTATTTGTAAAAATAAATAAAAACTTAGCATTTTTTTTTTTTTTTTTATTAACTAGAAGATTTGTTACTATGTTATTGATTATTGGTTGATATTATTTCTCGAGAACGAAAAGATCGGTTTTGTGAAATGGGGATAAGTATGTTACTGATAAATTTTATAAGAGGCCCATCTTATTGATTTGCCGACTTTGTTTGAACACTTAAATCCGCCACTGTTAATAATATATTAAATTTCTTACCAAATCACAATTTTTACTAAAATTATATTAAATGTTTAATATAGAGATACTTGGTGCTCGTTGCAAGTACTTTGTACAAAACGACCTGTGGGAGTACACCTGCAGTATTAATATATTATAGCAGTGCCGTAGCCAGAAAAATGTTTGGAGGGGGGCCCTTAATTTTTTTTCTCTAGCTTTTGAAATGATAGAATTTCTAATTATGACCTCTTTGTTCATAAAGTATATCTACTCTTTTTATCACTATATATTTATGTTAACAACTATGGTACCTGCATTTAATATAACAATGTATTAATATTATTGTAAACCATATAGGTTAATGTACCTATACATTAATATAGGCATATTAATATATTATAATCATTATATCAAAATGTGTTGTAAACAAAACACTCCATTTTTGTTCGAATATTATTAAAATGTACTAACAAAAATACAAGAATATATTGGGTCTGTTGTAAGCTGGTCGTTTTTTGTGCATTTAGACTAATAAGAGGAAAAAAAATATACTTCCAGAATTCCAATTTTAATTTCAAAAAAATATAAGAATTTCTCCGCTTTTTGTCTGTGTTTGGAGGAAGTCAATTTGTTTTTAGTTATACTAGGTAGTAATACTAATAAAAGTGAACTTTGAAAAAAAAAGAAAATTAATTTGGTACGATACTGATTAAACAATACTACAAATCAAAAATCCATTTCCTACATAACCTAGAAAAGAGATTAAGGAATTTAAATATATTTTCAAAATTAAAATAAGGCTTTTGGTACAAGGTGAATTTTTCTTCCGATTTTGGGAGTTTCGTGTTTCGTGGCACATGGGAGTTGAACGTTGACGTGACTGCACGTATGTACGTTATTGAGGTCCAAGAATCTTAGCCGTCGTTTATCTTTAATTTCATAAAGCGTTCGGGAAACTCACACACACTAATGATCAGTCACTACACACACAGTCACACAGCACTAACGATGGATGTACAATATTTTCTAAATCTGACCCCTTCAAAATGGTTCGTTTTCGACAGCCTTAACTTTTAACTTTTATCAAACACATAATATAATTTAAAACAAGCCATAGCAATTTTCTGTGTACATAATAACCATATGCTGAAAATATTTATTTAAGAATCCTTTAGGCAGTCGAATATAAACGTGACCTATATCCGTGGAGATGATGTATCCTAAATTAAAACTAGAAATTCCAGACACTATACATTTTAGTATAATATTATTAATGAATAATGATTATATTATATGATAATATAATATCATACAATATTGATAACCATGAAATACGACGCACTTCAATATTATAGTATTATAATATTGTACTAATAGGTATTTAAAAATTTTCATTTTAGGTACCTATATGTGACGAGACCCCAATTCTCCATAGCACCAGCAGAAAAATCGGGTATGGCCGCCATGTCTTGTTTGTGCAGAGGAAATTTTTCATCGAAATAATCCTCGTAGTATTTCAATACCTTCGGTCCCAAGTTAATGGCAAATTCTGTTTGATTGGCTGCGTCCTTCCTGGATATAATACGGAACTTCACTTGGTCATATCCACTATTTGCTTCAGTGTATACGAAATCTGATACCATGTATGCTACCAAATAAGTAGACATCGGTACAGATACTTCAAACTCGTCGATAACATAATCTGATTTCAAAGGGCTATAACATGGAATTACCACTTTCTATTATTATAATATCGTACACAATTATTCAATAAAATATTATAATATTATTTTTACGATGAACAGATTATTCTTTCACTTTGTTATCCTGTATCAATTAGACTTACCAGTTTATTTGTTTCATAAATTTCATATTACTTATCGAAGTCAATCCTTTTTTATGACCCATCCATATCTTGAAGGTTGCTTTATATGCGGGCTCGTCGAAACAGGGAAAAGCTCTTCGAGCGTCCGCTGGCTCGAATTGTGTTACAGCTAACCATCTACGACATAATATTACATTTTGAAGGTTTGAGCGGAATGAACGAAATCACGAAAAATGTGTTTTATTTTTTTTTACAACATGTGCTTTGTATTAATATATTTATATAACAATAACACACCTCGTTTGATTGCTTTCCTTGTCTACGTAGCTACTTCTATAGTAACCTGCTAGTTGGTCGGTGATGTTTCCGGTAAATGGTATTTTCAGCACATATTTGTCCCTGGGCTTGAATTTTTCGGTTGACTTGACGTACATTAGGTCTTTCTCGGGATCAAAGGAAACACTATCCACCGGGAAGATAAATCCAAAAGTGTTGACCACCACGACATCTTCAGTATCGATGTTCAAACTGTTCGAATGCAATACTATGGTATCGGTAGCTCCTACGCATGTCATCTAAATACATTAATTATATATTATGTGTCGTTATATTATAAATTATTATTGTTTTTTTAGTTTTAGAAGAATAATTAACTTAAGACGTTGTTAGTAAGAAATTTGAATTCAATAATTTTCGAAAAAAATTATACATTTTTCATCATTCCAAAGTATTCAAATAAATATCAATATCAATAAACACTATTTTGACTAGTGTATAATACTTAATCAAATATTTTTAAAATTCAGAAAATTGTAAAAATTTTTCTCGAAAATGTGTAGGTATATGTATGTTTTTATTTTAGAATTTCATAAATTTCAAGACATTTTGTCTTTTCTGAAAATATAACATAATTATTAGTTATTGTGAGTAAGATAGTATACTCGATGTAGTATGTTGAGTACTCACACGAATAACGACTACTCCTTCAAACATGAATTTATCCTCCAAGTGCGTGACCAAGTGCAGTTCATAGCTGACGGGTTTAAAATTAGTAGGTAATTTGAATTCGCTAGTTTCTTTCGAATTAACAACCGATCCCATTAGGGACAATGCGATGATAAAAAACATTTTAAAGCCCACAAACTTCATTCTAAACAAATTTTAAATACGCATGTACATAAATAGGTACCTAATAATAATATAATTATTTTACACGTATATATTCTTATATATTTTCTAAATTTTAAAACATTTTAGAAATTATTGGCATTGAACCAAATACCTATTGTTGTGAGAACTCCATTGACTGAACTGAACATCAGAGTTACGTTAATACTTTTGTAATGATATGATTGTTACCAATTTTCCATAATGGTAAAATAATAGGTTATAGATAATAAATGTTTAATAATATAGTATTTATATTTAAACAAGTCATAAGACCGATTAAAAACATCACACTGTACGAGTTCAATTAGTAATATGCTGACTACGTCTTATTTCCATACTGTAAAGATGTTAACTAATTCACTTGATTACATATTAATAATATATTAATTGATTAATTAATATAAAGCTTACGCTTGGTCGATTAAATCATTTAAAAATTATTTTAATAACACATTCGGGCCGGTTGTTGGCTTATCTCGAACATATGTAATTACCTATTATACATTTACATTTTATACTTGATGTAGTAGATGAGTAAAATCTTTACTGAGTGTTTCAATTCTTATAGAAATCGCTGGCATGTGCAGATATTTAAAATGCCTAATCATTTGTCTAAGATATACTATAAAATAATATAATATTATCATCTTCTGAATGAATATCGGATTGCTATGGGTAGTTAAATGTACAAAAAAACGTTAATCTTAAGTTAAAATCAAAACTATTGGTTACTAATTAAAAAACCAACATTTTATAACACTGTTTCAATGAACAGTATAATATACTGAAAATATAATGCAGAAAAGTGTAAAACAATATGTTGAAAATGTTTTCAGATATATTGTATTATATTTTAACATAATCTTCAGAATTCATCCTATCATAAATACTACCTATAATATGTTGAATGATATTTCCTTTACATTTTTTATTGTAATAGTTAAAACTTTGGGAAAACAAAATTCTGTAATACATACCTACTTATGTTAGTTATGCCGAAGAGAAGTACAAATTATCATTAAAATCAAATATAATTTTACAAACTCGAAGTAAATCTTAAGATTACTAATAGAGGTTGTACAGCCGAAAGGACTGCCAAAGTGCCAAATGTAGTAATTAACTAACTATGTTGTTCATTTTTCAGTTATCTTTATTACACCACTGTTGGTGGGAAAAGTTCACATCTATAAAATTGTCAACACAATGTTATTTATTATTATAGTAGTTATTTAGTCATATTTCTAAATAACATCCTTCAAATCCCGCAAGCCTGAAGTTCACCTATATGGCTATATTATGTTGTTATAACTACCTAATAATAATAATTCATCCCTCGAAAAAATATTATATAAATAAGAAAAAAATTATGTTCTCATTATTTATTGTTAAAAATATAACATATAGTAAGTATTTTAAATGTTTGATTGCCACTAATTCGCTACCCCGGCTAATGGCTATATAATAATCGTTACGAATTGCGCTATTGCGCAATTGCGACTTACCTGAGCATGTTTTGGTTTGACGGTGATCTGGTGACAATTGAATCACTACTGAAATTAGTGCCTACGCCGTCTATCAATTTATGTACTCACACAAACCCGTGAAAGTAAAGAGAGAAACAAAGTGGAAAATAAAAAGAGACGGATTCCAAGAAATTGTAGACAACGCACGTGCAGACCACCAGATTATTTTTAATACATATTATAATTTTTGACACAATAACATAAATAATAAAAAATAATTTTAATGCATTATCTTAATCAAAATATTATAGTAAAAATAATATAAAAGATATGGGAATTCTGATAAAAACGAATGTATACCGTCATTGAAATAACGATAACGAAATTTTAAAACATTTGACATTTAAGTAACTAAAAAATATTTTATGCCTCTCGCCAAATCATTTACGTCTCTAACTTTCAATAAATTTGTCTCGAAACAAAACTTTTATTTTAAATAAATATTTTTCAAACGAAGGTATAATATTAGTGATATTAAAAGTAGGTACAATAAAATATTTATTGCTAAATACGTATGTATATATAGCTCAAGTATTGTTGAGCTTATACTTACATACTATTATTTTTCATAAAACGCATTGTGTAGCTGTTGTATAGCAGTTCCATTTTGAAAAACTAGGTAGATATAGGTACTCCAATAACATTAGTTTATTATGTACAAACATATTTCATAAAATTATTAATGCATTTTACATATTATGCAGTTTTAATAGAGGATATAATGCACAAACGCACAATTTAACCATTTTTTAATTTTATTAGCAATGTATAGGGACAATTTTATTATATTATAGGTACTTAGTTATTAAAATTATTGTTCTATGTAACCATATTATATTACCTATGTCCGTTAAATGATTGTCAGAACAAAAATTATTTATAACACAATTATTTACAGTTGTTCTGATACTTAATTTTACCCATTTTAGTAATACGTAAATTAAATTCAAGCAGTAGATATTAAATTGAGAATCAGGACGATCATAGATTTTTAAATTTTAAAACAAAAGTGTATTGTAATTTTGAGTGCGTTCTACAACAACCGATGAGTACCTCTTTTTGTAAATACTTCGGTACCTACTGTACAACACTTGGGATGCGTCAAGGGCTTAAAACAAATTATACTTTATACAGAGTGCAGGGCCGTAGACACGGGGGGACCCCCCCTTGTAAAGTTTACATTAAAATCAATACATCATAAAATCAATACATAGAATCAATATACATTCATCGTTTCACTCAGAATCTAAAAGAAAAATAGATCTGATATTATAACTTATAAGACACTAAAATAAAGATATAAATATAAAATTAAGATATAAAAATATAAATAATGTGTTATTTTTTCTTAATTTACTATAACATGTTATTATTATAATAAACCCCCCCCCCCCATATAAAATTCCTGTCTACGGCACTGACAGAATGATTATTTTAGATTCTGAGTGGAACTATGAATGTATTGATTTTACAATTATGTGTGTTCTTTTTTTTTATGGCAAATTTTAAAATTCGCAACAGTTTTCAAAAGCCCCGGGAAAAACAACATAAACATTAAGGAAAAACGGGAATTTTGACGCAAAATCGGTTTTCCACAAAATCTTGGTTTTTGGTGTAACCTTAAAATAAATGAATGTATATACATGAAATTTTCACTGGTTGTTTATATTTGGATTTTCTATACACGATGAAATTTTGAAAATATTATGATTTGTTTTGAACTGTTTAGGAACATTTTCATTTTCCATTATTTTTTCATTTTTTTTTTCTAGAAATATCAATAAAATTTAATTTGTTGGTTAAAAAAGCATGAACATTTAATAGAAGGTTCCTACTATATTGTTTCAAAGGCAGATGAAAAATATTAAAAATCGTTAGTCACAGTTTTTTTTTATAAGCATTTAAAGTTCAAAAATTGACAAATCACGAAAATTAGCAAATTATTTTGAGTTAAGAATTCGTAAAAATTTTTCTTTTTAAATCTAAGATTTGAAAATGTAATACAAGATTACTCATAAGTTTGTCTACCTTTATCAATAAAAAAATCTCTACCGGACAGTCAAATTAAATTTTTATGAGCGTTTGAAATTCAAATTTTTACAACATTGGATGTTCACTCGATTTCTCATGTAGCGATTTCCTTATTTTATTGTTATTCATAAACGAATAACTATAGATACATGAAAATTTCACTGAATGTTTGTATAAGCATTTCCTATACACCATACAATTTTGAAAATATGTTGACTCTTTTTGAGCTGTTTACGGATATTTTCATTTTTAAATTTTTTTTAGTTTTTTTTTCTATGAATATCAATTAAGTTTTATCTGTTGGGCCAAAAAGTGTAAAAATTTAATACAAGGCTCTTGATATATTGTTACAATATCAGTTGAAAAATATTAAAAATACATAGGCACAATTTTTTTTTATAAGCATTTAAACATCGAATTTTGACAGAATTCTTCAAAATCTCGAAATTTATTAATCATCGTAATTAATAAATTATAAAATGTTCAGTTTTTATAGCTAAGGATTGAAAATTTAGAACAAGATTCCACGTAAGTAGCTAATACTCTTACCGAAAAATCTAAAATATATACAATCACAGTTTATTTTTATAGTCATTTTATGTTCAAATTTGGACGAAATTACATGTTAAAAACCTAGTTATTTTGTTGTGATTATATAATATTTATTCGTTGGTACCTACTTGAAACTTCTAAAGTGTACTATTATATATCTATGATAGTATCAGGGTTTGTTATTGATGTTGATGTATAACGTGTTATAAGTACCTAATGGATATTGTGATTTGTGATAATGTGATATGATTAATTTGGAATTTATTAAAGGTAATTTTTTTTTTTTAATACCATAGATATGTATATAATTTGTCTTAAACCTAGACTGACATACCGTCTTCGCTCAGAATCGTTTTTCTTATACAATGATATTGAATCATTGAATTCAAATTTAATAGCATCCATTATACAGTGACCCACTTGTAACCTACTGTACAGCAGAGCGACATCCACTTACCCACCTTTTTTTCTATAAAAATTAATAAAGTTTTATCGGTTGGGCCAAAAATTGTAAAAATTTAATACAAGGCTCCTGATATATTGTTACAATATCAGTTGACATTTATAAAAAATACATAGGCACAATTTTTTTTTTATAAGCATTTAAGGTCGAATTTTGACAAAATTTATCAAATTTAAATTGAATAATTATTTTGTAGTTAAAAATTTATAAAATGTTCAAATTTTATATCTAAGGATTGAAAAATTAAAAACAACGTAAGCAGTTAATTCTGTTACCAAAAATCTAAAAAATACACAAGCACAGTTTATTTTTATATAGTCATTTTAGGTTCAAATTTGGATGAAATTACATAAAAAAAACCTAGATTACCTATTTTAGTTATTTTGTTGTAATTGTATAATATTATTTGTGGGTACTTGAAACTTCTAAAGTGCACTATTATATATCTATGATAGTATCAGGGTTTGTTGTTGATGTATATTGCGTTATAAGTACTTAATGGATATTGTGATATGATTAATTTTGAATTTATTATAGGTACCTATTATAGGTCAATTTTTTTAATACTATATAGATAAGTATATAATATGTCTTATACCTAGACTAACATACCGTCTCCGATCAGAATCATTTTTCTTATACAATGATTTAATACCATCCATTATACAGTTACCCACTTGTAACCTACAGTACAGCAGAGCACCTTTTTTACTTTACAGTCATTTTCTAGGCAAATTTATTTATGTTTAAATTGTATTACATACACTATTTTTTTTACTTAATTTGAAATTTTTGCAACACAATTTTTCCTATATTTTTGTCATTATTATTGTAAAGTTTAACATTGTATCATTTTGAAACAACAATATGCAATTTAATAGGTATTTAATTTTTTTTTTTGTTACCTATTAAAAGAGTTTTTATTCAATCTGTTACAAAGTAGAACAATAAGAATACATTTGATAGGATATATAAAAATAAATTAAAATTAAAATTAAATGACAGATTAGACAGAATCTAGAGACCTCCCAGTGGAGGTACTACGACATAATAACAGATATTTCATCTGAATTCGAAATGTAAATGGTCGTTTGAAAAAGTAGCGATTAATAATATTATAGTAAAAAGTAATATTATTACTGAAAATGCCCAGCTAGAATTCTTCAAATATAAAATAATATTAATATACCGATAAAATTACTGTATGAATGTGATAAAAGAATTATCTTGTATACACTATATAGTATATACAGTATACACAACTATATATATACCTACATATTATGCTCAAATATGCAGTGGTGTATTGGTACGGGTACGCGGGTATACGCCGTATACCCATCAGAAGATTTTCGATTTTCGGCGTATACCCTATGTAAAATCTTATTTTACGGGTATACGTTTCCAAAATAACCAGAAAACCAAATAAGATTTAAAATGTATTTAATAGTTCATATAGGAAAAAAACGTTATTCGTTATTATGTATTAATGAATTATTTATCAATTGAAGTAGGTATTGAATATAAGTTATATAACAATATGCGTTGTGTTTAATGTATTTTAAGGGTTTAAGTTCAATTTAGTAAACCCAATATTGAATACAAAAAAATCTTTGGGGAAAATTTTATAGATTGTCTGATAGTACCTATAATAATAATGTTATTATTATTTTAATTTTTTTGACATTCGAGTTGATTTTGTTTTATTTTCTATTGTTACATTATAAAAAAATTAATAAAATAATTTTAAAAAATATGTACTAATTGAACTGCAATAACGTTATATAATATATACGATGATATAATTTGATCGTTTAGGTTACATACATATTTTATTGGTGCGTATACCCATTAATATATTTACCAATACACCACTGCATATATGTATGTATATATGAGCATACAGTTAAAGTGTTTCATTTCGATCTCGTACAGTGGATG